ACGGACAAAAGCACTGTCAATAATGCGTCTATTTGACGCGCCACATTTAATTTGCTTTCCTTGTTTACAGCAACAGCAAACACTTGAAGGCAAACAACTCGAAATTTTGCGCATAGCAAACGCCCAGCTGACAGCGTTGCCAAGCACAGCACACAACCATAACTGTGCGCGGCTACGAGTGCATAATAATTTAGTGTTGGGCCGTCAAACGGCGTGTAAATAGCTGCGTTTGCACTTAATTAATAAAACATTTGCCACTTTTTCGCTACYCCGCCAAGGGGGGAGGGGCGCCGACGCAGCGGCGAAAGAAGTAGTAAATATGCAGGTGGCCAGACAGACGCCTCACATTGCACGCATGCGTGTGTGTATGCACTTGCGGCGTATGAATTTGAGCGACTGCACTGTATTTATGACACTTGTTGMAACATGGCATGCATAGCAAAACGCGCCTAGGGTGTGTGTGTGTGCGTGCAAAGTGCGTGCTTTTATTTTCAACTTAATTTGCATGTTTTTTACTGCCGCAATTTGCTTATTTCATATTTTTGATTATATTTACCAACACTTTTCGACTTCATTTGATTTGCATGCAACAATTTTGTTGCAAATATGCATTTGCGGCCAAGTCGCGTGCGTAAGTGACTTTTATATTTATTTTAGAAATATTATTATGCAGTTGTGTTTTTTTTTATATTCATTTTTATTGGTATTTGCATGGTTATGCGCCTTCTGCCGGTGTATTGTAGGCGCGCAGCGTGTTTACTTGCAACTTTTTCATTTATATGCATCAAGTTGATATGCATTTGTTTCTATGCACGCAATTAGTTTGCATGCTCACCGAAAGTATCTCCGCAATACGCACAAATGTCAACACATTGATTTACACGGATCGGTTTACATGGCGGCGGGTGCGTTGCAACATGCAGCAAGTCATTTGTGGCACGCTGTTGCATATGCTACAAGTGCAAAAATCACCATTAATATTTTGTTGTTGCTTTTGTTTTGTAGTGGTGACTATATAAATTAGCTGTTTGCTTGATAAATTGTTAGTTGCACGCTGTTAGACAACAACAAGCCTGCTTCGCGAAATTTAATTGAGTTATTTATTGCAATCAACGATGATTGCGTTATGAATTGAATATCTGTTTATGGATGCGGGTGAGTTTCACAGCGCAAAGATACACTGGAGACAAACATTTAAAAAACCAAATTTATGAATTTAGGTTAGGTTCGATTTTAGGTTAAGTCCGATGGTCACTATTAAGTTCTGATTCTCCATAAACTGACTTTATTTAACTTTACGATAGATGAGTGAGTGAAAAGATACACTGAAGGCAAATATTTTGAAAAAAAGCAATAATTTTAGGTTAGGTGTGATTTTAGGTCAAGTAAATCCGATCGTTACTGTTAAGTTCTCATATCTCAACCGTAAACTAACTTGTCTTCACTTTACGCTTCATAATAAAGAAATTCATTCCGGAAACGACACACAAACTCTGAAAGCGCGTTCGTGAAACACTGAGAGCATCCTGAACGCCTCTGAGGTGGCTTCGTTGTAGTCTTCACCCCAACTGCGTGTCTTTCAAAACGATGCAACTTTCAAGCTTTATATTACTCTACAACAATACGCCGTATATTGCCAAATTCTGTGTTATATGTCAATCAATTTCCAGTTATAGAAAATAGAAGCTCCTTAAGGCAGAAAATATAAATCTTACCAAACATCAGTTCATAAGTTTATAGCGCATAAGGGTATAGGCGTAATAAGTTTATAGGTGTAGTAAAAACTACTCAAATTGAAAAAAATGTGTTTGGTTATAAAATGGTGATATATTGGTTATACATTGGTTATATATTGCCTTTGTATTGGTTATATCTCGGTTATATCTCGGTTATATCTGAGAGGACAATTTTTTATTTATTTTTAATTATATCTGAGAGCGAAAGCTTGAATTTTACGATATTGCTTATATAATATAATAGGATCCAGTGAATCGTAAACAGTAAAAAACTTAATTTCAATTTTTTTGATAATTTCTTCATCTCACTTGACGATATATACTCTAATCTAAAAATCTGCTAACATTACTTTTACAAGAATTTCGCAAGAATTTTCCGCACTTCTGCCCACTATCTCAGTTCTTTTACGTAAGCAATTAAAATCATGCGGAAATTGCATGAATTTGGTAACGAAATCTAACTAGATTAGATTATTTTGTAACAAAAAGCAACAAAAACAGCAATTAATTATATTTAGAAAATCAATTAAATAATAGTATCTGAGCCATTGTGTTTCAGAAATCCCTTAAACAATGGCATATTTTTACTTGACACTTAAGAAATTCTAATCAGATTTAGCTGTCATGGCTGCTGATCGAGTAGCTGATACTTAATGACGTCCACACTTGGATAAAATACTGTACATTATCTGCACACTATTATTAACTCATGTAAAACGAAGAAAAAAATTGAAGTATGTAAACGAGTAAAAATACAAAAACAAATTTTATGAAAATTAAAAAAATATACAGAGTGTGTCAGCAACATACAGTGGTGTATTCTGATACATACACTTTTACTAAAAAGTTATTAATTAGTGATATAAATGCAAGTAGATTTTAGGTTTCGCAGAAAGCTTTTGAAGGCATTATGCAAACTGTTGCCTACATTCAGGCGCAGCTAAAACTAATTTAGCAAAGGCGCACACAACTTTTGTGAAAAATTATAAAAACTCAATGATTAAAAGGCGTATTTTAGGTTTGAAAAATTAAACCAATTTTATTTTTGAGCTCCAAAGACAGAAAAGATATTTTGTCAATAAAAAAAAAATATTTTGCTAAAAAAAAATAAATTTAAAAAATATATTTACTGCAGAATGTAAAAATTTCACAGCAGAGGTGTTGCTAGCAGCATTATATGCGCTTATTTGTATTTAGTTTCTGTTCGTGCCAACCGAGTGGGGTATTGAACTTCGCAACGTTTTGGTTCGACCGTAAAAGCCATTGGTAGGCGCACAAAACAAAAGCAATTCGTGTAAAAATCATACACATATATGAAAGCAAAACAAAAACCACAACAACAACATTATTAATAAATATCTACTCATAGTGGTATTATAGGAAGCAGAAAACCATCAAGAGCTCGCAGGCGCAAGAACACGAGAACCTTAACAGCAGCGGCCGCCAACAAGTGAGCCGGCGACCAGCGAACACACTCCAATAAGTGAAGCACTTGAAAAAACACTTGAGATAGATTGATAGGTGACTACCAGGTTCAATACACAGACCATCTATCCAACAAGCGAGCGCCTGCCTAGCAGTCAACCAAGCAACATTTCAAGCAGCGAAGCGCCAAAGCAAGCAGAACACTCACAAGTGTTGAACGCTCGCTGCCTGCGCTTTTGTTATTATTGTTTCAATTTGTATTTTGCTAACTTTTTTCTGCACATTTTTTATTGTAAAAATTTAGCATTTTGCGCCGAGATTTCACTGATGCTTCATTTTTTTCTGCTAATTTTTTTGTTGCTTGCTGGGCTGACTGTTGTTACATGACTGTTGTAGTATGTAGAGTACATGTGTAGCAGAACAAGAGCAACTTTCAAGATTGTTGCAAGTTCAGTGAGCTTCCAGGCATGCAACGAGTGCCGGCAGCCCTCAACTGTCAGAAACTTAGCTGCTGCTGTACGCTGTGCGCCACGTAGCGCTTGCCACATGAGCAATGTAAGAGGCGCCTATCGTAGAACGTCCGCTGCTCCGCCTGCCAGCGCCTGCTTTTGTCGACCACTACAGCGATCCCAATGTTGCTGGTGGTAATTAAATTTATGCGCGTTGCTCTAACTACAGTTGGCTTTTTATTTCATATTTTCCAACAATCAGTGAGCTCATATTTCAAAAGAAATTTACTCCACACATGAGACCGTGTGTGTGTGTGTGTTAGTGTATTGGAAAAATAGCAATACACCCTTTCGGTTGACGTTATTTATGTATGTTGCAAAGTCAACGATGGCGAAGGCGAAGTCGCTGGCATTATTATTGTTGCACGTTTGTGCATTTTTCAAGGCGTGCAAATTCCACTTGAGCGCCAAGTTGCTTGATGGCCTGTTGGCTGACGCACTGATTGACTTACTGACTGCTTTGGCGGCCAACATTGGTTGCTCGGCTTCTGCGGCCTCTTTGCTGTGGCCACAATCTACGCTGGCATGCGCTAGTGCAACAGCGCTTCAGTTAGCAGCGATGCGTCACATTTTAGGTGGAAACTCCTTGAAAGTGAAGTGATTCCATACACAAACTCTCGATGGTTGATACAACCTTTTTACGCCTTGCAGTTAAAGCTTTTGTTTGTTGCCTTGCCGCGGGGATCGCAGGTTGAAGTTATTCGCATCAAGTTCCAGTTTCTATATTGCTGGTGCTTATGTTTGTAGTAGCTATTTTCAGTAATATTTCTTGTTGGTGCGAGCGCTAAATCATACCTACACCCGCACATAACCACATTGCAGCTATTATATATGAGATTTAGCAACGCAATGGTAACAAGCTTCAGCTATCAGCTTCGGAAGACTTATCAAGCTGTATATAAATCCACTAAATACGACAAAACTCTGAACCCTGAGAACTCTAGAGCATAATAATTTGTATGATGGCCCATGAGCGGACCGACTCTCAATTTCTCTCGACCCAGCATGTTTAAATACTAATCGCGATCAAAAAGGAACGCTAGTCTGTAATATATATTTTTTTTATTAGAAACTGTTATAGATTTTTCTAACTTAACTTCATTCGGTAACAGCGCCATCTATCGGAGCTTTTTAATTTCCATAAATACATGTTTCCACTGTAATTCAAAATATTTTTTTATACTGAGTTTCAAAATGCCACATATTTTCCTTATATCTCTAAACTATGAAGTCCAACTCAGATTTCGTAATTAGTTTTAAGTATTTAWTCTTCAATTTAATATCCCTCCTATTTTTTATTAACAATAACTACTTGCCTTTCTATTTACAGAAAATATAACGATAGTCGGCCTCCCGGACTATGTGAACAACAATCTCAAAATAGCACTGTACGCAAAAGAAACACAACGGTATCTGTGTTTCAACGATCAGTGGAAACTAGTTGGAATGGTAAGTTTGTAGCTGAATTTTTAGGGAAATCTTATATACAAACAAAAATAAAAATTAATTTCAAGAACTTTGATCGGTCAGTTTGTATGGCA